ATTATGTAAGAGTCAATATTATGAATACCGTATTTATTTGGATAAGGATTAATATTATGTTTATTAAAACAACTTCGCAAATAATGTGTTATGTTTTTTTTAGAACTTTTAAAGGGGAACAATTCTGTCATACATGATTTTTGCAAAACTTTAACCGTTAACGCAGCGCGCGCTACGGAAGCTCTCAAAAGGAAGTTTTTGCAACATCTGTCATTGATACTCCGCTCGTATTGGTTGTAGCAATATGGTACAGCTTTCTTCGATGAACGGTCTATCAAACATTGAAAGATTTGTTCAAATCCGATTAGTTGCTGGCTTTCCAGCTTTATAATATTAGCATAGTATTGCTGCTGGTGTGTGTCGGTTATCGCTGTAAAAAGTAGCCTGTGTTACTCGCTGATAAAGTAGCTTTCCAGAAAGAAAATTTTAAAAAAATAAAACTAGTTTAGTGGTTTAGGCGGGAAAGCGTTACAAACAATTTCACTTTTAGATTTATAACATAGATTTCAAATGAAATGTCATCACATCACATCACATCAACAGCCTATACTAGTCCACTGCTGGACATAGGCCTCTCCTTAGAAAGGAGGTTTTTGGCCTACTATACCACGCTGGCCAGACGGGTTGGTATAGGGTTTGTTTCAAGTTTTCCTTCTCTTTGCAGTGCTGTTGTCCTGCTTAGTTTGCTCCCTTAGTCGGCTCTTACGACACCCACGGGATGAATTGGGGTGGTGACAATTTGTATTCTTAATCCGTCACCACACGGACTGTCATCATCATTATCATTATCAAATACAGCAGTTCACGAGTTATTATTGGCGGAAAAACCTAGGTATATATACGCATTTGCTTAATCCATCGGGGATGTAGGCGTGAGTGTCTGTACTTATATTTTTGAATATTTTATTAATATGCATACATAAATAAGTTATAACTATACGAGGAAGGAACATTACGAGTATTATTTAATAAAAACGTACCATGATGCGTTCAATGACATGACAATTATTTAAACAGACACGTTGGTAAATCGAAATACATGAGTTAATGACCATGTAAATTATTTAAAATTCGTTATAGACATGACAAGTGACAGGTATAACACATTTAAAATAATATGGTTTTTATAACAATTCTTAGAATGTACTAATCCAGAATTAATAGCCCCAAACATAACCTTCTAACTGCTGTAGATAATTATATACAAGTACAAATGTAGCTAAGCCTAGTTTATGTTTAAAATGTAAAGCTGTTTTAAATTGAAAACGTTACAAAGTTAGTCTCTCATAGAGGAAATACGTGTATTTCCAGTACTTTAGGCAGTTAATGAAAGATTAAAAATCCAAATTTCCTTTCTAGGTTTGCGTCAATCTGCGGCTGGCGGGGAGAAGCTTGCGACTTACCCCGGGTTATGCCGATTCAGGGGGATCTGAAATCACATGGTCGGGTTTTTAGTAGAACGCCACATACTGCGTCCCCCAAGGAGCGCGCGATCCAAACGAATTTATCATTTCTATTTTTAACCTTATTATTGCATAATATAATAACTAGTTACGTGTTATATATTTTTTTATAATGCATGAATGTATAAGCACGATTACGAATTTCCTAAAAAATAGTGTTTGTTCAAAATTTGCTATATTCGTTAGAAACAATCACATAATTTTTTGGCCAAATTACGACTTGACATTAGTTGTGCCGTTACCGTTAATGGTAATTAAAAATAGATGATACCCATTAATAAAGTATTCCTTAAATTGAAAACCTGTAGGTTACGAGGATGGCAAATTAGGTGCTCAAAAAATAAAACATTTGAGATTGAATGTTTAGCAGAACTTTTATTGTAGATTGAGAAGAAAACATACGCTGACTCGGATTACAATAAAGCACAAAGACCGGTTTTACCATCTTTCCAGAATTATAGTCTAAAATTTTGTTTGATTTTTAATTAGCTGGAACCCGCGACTTCGTTCGCGTGGAATTCGAAAAGAGCTGCCTTAGTGGGTTCGATTCCCCTACCGGGCAAAATTTTATAGAGTTTTTCTGAGAGGAAAAATATTATATATACAGGAGATATATATTCTTCGGCATCTCGCGTTGTGGGACCATTGGTACGCATATAATCCCTAACGACTTCAAGCCAGCACTTATTGGGTCTTCCCCTACTACCGGGGCCCGGCGGAGGCGGCATGGCCAGACATTTGTTCCCTACTTAGCTCGGTATTTAACCTGATTCATGCGCTCGACCAAGTCATCGCCTATGTGGACGGATGTGGGATCTGTTGAGTTTAACGCCAAGTACTAAGTCTTTGCCACATTTAGCTTCTTCACATTTAACGTCTTAACGTAAAAGTATTTGTACAGTTATATGAAACCATTAATCATCGCTAAGTGGGTTTTCAAATGATTTCATGACGACGAAGGTTTTACATTATAAACTTGAAAAGAATGAAGTAATTGAGGATATTCACTTTACCTAAAGACTATAGAGAGATAGGCTACTACGAAATTCAAGAAGCCCTTTTAACTTAAATATTGTTAGGCGCAGCCATGAAAATATCTGTCAGTATTTCAGTACTCCTTGGCTTGCAAATAATTTTGTGTCTGTAAAAACTTTTATATAACCTGCAAAAAACACACCAATAATAAAAATATGTAGTGATAAATAAAATAAGCTCACTGGGAAATTTTCATAGCATAATGTGAACGGTGTTATTATAAAGGATGTCTCAGTAAGAGTGCACTTTTTAATTTTAAAATAAAAACACGTATTTTATAAAAGAGTTGTGATATTTTTATTGGATTATAAAGAAGACATGTTCCGATTAAGTATGGAATAAAAAATCCAGCAAATGGCCCCCACGGCTCTGATGACAGGCCATTACTCTTTTCATTAAATTTTTCATGATTTTTACACAGAAATGTGGCTGTATCTCACAAATAACGTGTTGGATCTTTGATTAGAGCTCGAGAATTGTTTCTGGTTTATTCGTTTAACCCAAGATTTCTCAAAACCCTAAAGAAAATAATTCGCAAGGCGTTAAATCTCAAGATCTTGGTGGCCAGTGGACATCAGAATTACGTGAGATATAAATAAGTCGATTGTTTCACGCCCGGTGGCGCCATCCTGCTGAAACCACATGTTGTCCCGATCCATGTCGTCTAGTTGAGGCCACAAGAACTCCGTTTTCATATTCCTGTAATGAACGCTATTCAAAGTCACGATAATTTCGGCCTCATCTTCAAAAAAAGTTGAAATTTAAGGTAAATTTTGGCACTTACGAGTTTTCGCGAAAATCGAAATTTGCCCATATCTTTTTATCGTGTTGACTCAGGACCTTGATTTTTATACACCTAATAAGCACCATAGACTTCAGTATCTGGTATAAATTTCAACTTGCTAGGTCTACCCGTTCTTGAAAAAATCGGTGGTGACACACGGACAGACAGACGGACAGACGGACAAGAAAGTGATCTTATAAGGGTTCCTTTTTACCTTTTGAGGTACGAAACATTGAAAATAAGGCCTGACCTACATCCGCACCAGATGTTTTCTGGTTTTCGGTGACACTGGTTTACAGCAGCAATGTTTTCAAGAGACCGACGTATGTTAACGCAATGGATTCTTAATATCCATAATCGACCCAGTTTCTTCAAATTTTTTGACCACTCTGCGAATGGTTGAGATATTAGGTGCACTTTTTCGACTGAAAATTTGGCTAAGTTTGCTAGCGGTTTCAGCGTATCTTTCCCCATTTTTGTAATGAGTTTTCACTATTATAACGCGTTGTACTTTTGAAAAGCATTTCATTTTTAATAATCGGAATAAACATAGGTGACAGCTGTCAAATTTTAGAGTAATATTCTAAGTTTAAAAAGGGCACTCTTACTGAGACACCTTTTATATAGCAAGCAATATATATATGTAAATATAATAATAATATTTCCGACATCTAACACACAACGTCATCTAGTTACAAACTAAGCAGAGCTTGTATAATGAAAGCTAGATTAACTGATACAATACTTATATCCTTTATTTTTGTAAATACATACATGTAATACATAGAAAACATCAAAACTCTGAAACAAATATTTGCAGATCATAGAAACATTTGGTCCGACCCGGGAATCGAACCCAAGACCTCAGCACAGCAGTCGCATACGCTACCACTGCACCACCGAAAACGTGAATATCGGCCAATATAGGGAACTGAAAAGAAACGCTTGCACGGGCTTAATTGCGAATGTTAAGATAGATGTGTAGTGTAAATATATTTTTGGGTGTGAAAAATAAATACATTAGAGTAATCCTAAAAGTAGCATTAGCCGTTCATGGGGAAGGTTTAGCTGTATAGTTTGTTAACGTTTGTGTAAATTGCTTGAAAGGTGTCGACAAATGTCGGAAATGTCGACAATACTCAAGCCGACTGGGAGCTTACAGCTTTTTTTGTAGACGTATGTTAAAGTTAAATCTAATACACATATTCGCAACCAGCTGAGGCAATCCCATGGTTAGTAAAATATGTAGGTATAGCATACCTCATCAAGCCGGGGCTGGTTGCTAGTACATATAAATAGCAGGATTATTTTGTTATTTCATTAACATTTTGTATTATTATTATCCTTTTTAGTTTTATTGTCATTTAAGATATGTTGGTGTTTTCTCTGAGTAATTACTTTTACTTATTTATACAAAATATTTGGAGTCAAGTGATATTTCAAAGCAGGTTAGCAAAAAAAAAAAAAATAGAATGCAACCAAAGTGACGACCTTTAAATGGGTAAATTAGTTTGTATATTAAGATCAAAGTTCCATCAAGGAAACCTGTACCTGTAAACGGCATTAAAATAAATAATTGACGCAGTCATTCCGCGTTGCTTTTATTATTATCTACTCGCAATTATCTTTGAGGTACTCTTGTAAGTATATTAACGCAGTAGTTCGTGTTAGACGCACAGTTGTCCGTCGACTTCCGAAAAGTAGGTGTGTTGGGCAAAATGGAAATGATGCAGAAAATTTCGTGTTTAGTTCTCCTCGTCTTTGGCTTAGCCCAGTCTTCAGGTAAGAATTCCTGTTAATAAAATGTTGATAAATATTTGAACTTTCAATTGTTACTTAAAGAGCTATGCGTGGGATACAAAAATCGCTGTATGTTGCTTTATTTGTTTCGTGATCTTTAATACATATATAATTATACATATTTGTATAAAATATACGGGTATTTATATTTTTTTAAATGATATATCGAGCAGCTAAGTACATATTATAAGTCGTAAAGATACAACTTATAATATATGTATTCCTGTTATGGTATAAGATTATAATTTTATCTACTTTTACAAATAGGTTTTTGTATTGTAAAATAAAATACTTTAAATATTTGGACACTTTTTGTGAGGTTGTGAGGTTTTTGTTCTAGCAGAAAATATTATTTTAAATTGTTTGTCAAATCTTGTAAAATCTGAAGTAAACTATAATGAAGTCAAAAATCGCATTTTTATCTCAGTTGATATTCAGCTCTAATACATATTTTAAATAAGGAATTGTTATAAAGTTAACTTGTCTAAAAATCATTGCAGTCTATGTGAATAATTTTAAAAGTAAATTAACAATGTATCGGACGGCATTCTTTTAATGTTTCCAATCTCTTAAGATGCACGAACTGTTTAAGGGCACGTCCTTCGTATTGAATCCCTAGTTACTGTAGCTCAGTACCTAAAGAACGTCGTGGGCTGGCCTTACTCCATCAATTCTATCATTGTCCTAGCAGAAATATTTATTTTTACGCTCTCATGATACCATTTCTTTTAATACGCATGTGTAACCTTCTTATTGCGTTGAATTTAAACTGCTATCTAATACATAACTTTTTTCTTTCTGATAATAAAGTATAAAAAATACAATATTTAATTTTTATGAAAGAAGATACGTTATGATTATCATTGAAAAAACAACATGCAAATTAATAACATTTTTGATGCATTGTTTGAGTGGATATTCTTTCAATTGAAACGAGTATTGCAATTCATTTATTTAATTTTTTCTTTATTCATCAACAGCCCTTAACAGTACACTGCTAGACATAGGCCTCTCCTTAGACAGGAGTTTTTGGCCTGCTATACCACGCTGGCCAGGCGGGTTGGTGTAGGATTTATTTTAAGATTTGCTTCTCTTTGCAGTGGTGTTGTCCTGCGTAGTTTGCTCCCTTAGTCTTTCGACACCCACGGAAGATTAACGGTGGTGAAACTCTGTCTTTTTAATCCCCCATTACACGGAATGTAATTTTTTTATAACTATAATTAAAACATCATTATCAGTAATTTCAAATATTAATTTATAATTTAATAATTCTCCTAATTATAATGTCGTTAAAATATCTATTATACTATATCGTTAAGGCACAAATTGATTAATTGTCACAATTCTGGTGGTAAGACCCATCATACTCGTAGACAATTGACTTGAAAGACGAGGTGGTAACTTCTCCTACCAGTTGATATAGATGCTCACCATACTGCTTTGTTAAGAACCTTCTCACTGAAGCTAATTCAAACTCAAATTCAAAATATCTTTATTTCATATAAAAAATATGTTTGAAAACGTATTTTTTCTTTGGAGGATATTAAATTAAGAATATAGTAAAATAGTAATAGTAAAATAATGGTCTACTTGTCTAGTCAGTCTACTTCGAGCCCTATATGCCAATTCCAAGTTGAAAAAAAAAATCCATGATGATAAGCGCCGATAAGCTTAGTGTCGATTTCGATATTCATCTGAAAGCATCATTCTGTTTGGCCATTACGGCAGAACTTAATTCAATTTCAATGAAAGACTCTATCTTTTACGTTACTTTATCATTTCATTCAAAAAATTGAGATTTTATTGCATTACTAAGCATTTAAAGTCCTCTTTAACAATTAAAATAGCACTTTTAAATTAGTGTATCTTTTACAATCGTGAACATAAGGATGATCTAAAAGCGGATTGAAAGGCAGAGTTGAGCTTATGAACGACTTGCTGTAACTACAATATTTTCAAACCCATATGAGGCGATCTTGAGTTTAAATAAATGTTTGATGCTACTGCTTTAACTCAATATCAGTATCTACAAGGCAGGCAAAGATCAAATAGTTTTTAGGAAGAAACCGCACATAGATATATCCTAATTTATGATTAGGATGTGGTCCTAAATTGCTAACCTTTAATATTAACGTTGTAATTATGCTGGTGACTAGAATTGTCAGAGGCTCACATGCATGTAACTTGAACTAGCTTTTTATAGCCATAAAACAAATGACGAGTAAAAAAAGGTGGGTAAAAAGTATTCACGGACGCATGCAAAAACTAAATTACAAAATAAAAACTAAACGTTTTCTGTACAAGTTTTTTCAACAACCTACAATTTGACTACAAACATCAGTTCTATTACGAGTACAAATATACGTAATTATTTCAATAAATAAATAAATTTATTTAACCATGTTTAAAATTAGGACATAGATTCATTTGAGTTGTATTTAATAGGAAGCTGAAAAATACTCAAGGTCAACGGTCAAGGTTCCAGTTAAGCTTAATCTGAATATTTTACAAAAAAAACTGGTACGTTGTGCTGTTCCGTTGTGAGATGATTGTGTTCGTCCCGCTAAGGATCGATTCCCGACTATTATTTTATACCCGTTTTTTTATGACAAACTTAAATAAGGCAAGTGAGCGTCAGGCTATAAAACGTTTATGAAGATCGTCGTTGAAAGATGTTTGGTCATGGACATTACCATAAATACAGGCAACATAACATAATTTATATAATTATATAATCCTATTTAACGACCATTAACCTGTCGTGATAATAATTTTAATTTACAATAATAATACCTCTGTTGTCTACAATACCTCAGTGGATTGTATAAATAAGACTAGTGGACTGTAATTTTAGTTGTATAATGTTTTATGGTTATCAATACAACATTTAAACTATATAATGATGGACAAAGGATGATATGCGCGAGCTCAGCCTTGTGGTATCGTGTCTGTGGCTGACTGTCTGTCTGGTCTAGGCTGGCGAGCGCCGGTATACTCCGGAGCTCGGCCGGAGCCATACTCGCCCCAAGTTGAAGTACTGAGTGACTGACAAGAGGCAGATTGTATATTGAAGGCGAGCCGGATGACTCCCTTGCTTTTGTGGATGTCGGCGACTTTTGCGATGCTATCTTTGCCAGGCAAGACCTGAATAACATACCATGAGAACCTCCCGAAGATCGGCGCCATTTGGTTTCATCATGGATCACTCCAAAAGTGTTGCTTGAGTCGAATCTCTATGAGTCGAAATCGCTGGATAGTGTTGCTTTTGAGATGTTGTATCTGAGGGTGTGGCAACAAAACAATTGAGGTTAAGTTATTAAGAAATTGGATGAAGTCAAGGGAGTAAGGTCAGAAGGATCTTGGAAAAGTGGAGTTATAGGCCTTGAATTGAGAATAGCCTCTATGTGAATCAAAGACGTTGCCATTTCTTCAAACTTCAAGTTTGTCAGGTTTAAGACGTGTCGAAGACGATGTTTCTTGGATTTAACCGCAGACTCCCATAAGCCCATAAAATGTGGAGTGTACGCTGGAATAAAATTAAAGTTTATGCCTAGATCAATCTTACTCAATTTTAAGTCTTGTGATAGAAGATTGGCTAATTTGTTAAAGATACACTTGTCCCTTGGTACCATTGTCGGAAAAGATGTTACGTGGTTTTCCCCTCCAAGTAATGAACCGAGATGAGGCAGCTAAGAAAGCGTTCTTAGTGAGGTCTGACATCTTTTCCTTTTTTTTATTTTTTTCAAAAGACAACTAACTCCCGCCTTAGGAATAAGTATATCTTGTGTCGCGGGGGACTTTACAAACATACATGAAACGGACACAAAGAGCACCCAGACTCAGAACAATAATTGTGGATCACACAAAGTGTCGTCCCATGTGGAGATCGGAGATCGGGAAAATACAAATAAAACATTTGATAAAGACATCAAATGTTTTACTTGTATTTTTCCGATCTCCGACAAGGAGAGACTAGATTTAGACAAAAACTGACGGCCGCTATAAGATCACGCAATCTGCCAGCGTGTAAAGTGCCGTGTCGTCAGGGCAGTCATCACAATGCTGGTCCCGTGACACCCGCCCGGTCCGATGCGGGTACTTGTCGAAGCAACCGTATCCGGAATGCACCTGTATCATCCCCCCGCATATTTAACTGAACTCATGATCACTACTCAGCTCGATGTTACATAGCATGTAACTACTCTAAATAATGTTACTTAACTGCTTTAATAAATATTTTATCGAGTAAATACAGATTTATTTGAATCTTACTGATACTTTAGATTGTGTATTTGCTTAAAACATTAATCTCTGTAAGATTAGTCTTTAAACATACTAATGCGGTTTTTTTCAATTATATGTATACCTTCGGCATAGGCTTAAAAAAAAATATATATTGTTTTAGTATTGCCAGTGGAAAAATGCACGCTCACCGACAAATCCTGTATGATTACGGCAGTGCAAAAGATGGTACCAGTTTTCACGGCAGGAATGCCAGAAATTGGTGTTGAAGTTTTAGATGTAATGAAAATGGATGATGTGAAATTTGAATTGTCCGGTCTTCAATTCAGCTTAAATGATGGTACGTTAAAGGGGATGAAGACTGCAGTTATTGATGATCTCAAGTAAGTCAGTGTCTTTACTAGTTAAATATAGGTGTACGTCAAGCGATTGGAGAGTATCCAAAAGCGATTCCTGTACCATCTTTGCTACAGAGATAACTTAGCAAAAGAACTCACTAGCTATACCGAAAGGTTGGAACTTTATAAAATAAAGACATTAGCGAGTCGAAGAGATTACTTAGACTTAATCTTCCTTTATAAAATTGTGAACCGGGCTATATATTGTAGTAGTATTTTGAGTACCCAACTGTTCCAAGAAAGAATGCATATTGCTTTTTTAACATAGCAACCTCTAAAATAAATCTTGGTCATTACGTCGCTCTACCAAGGCTCTGTAGGCAATACAATACTTTGTCAAAGACTCATAATATCGACATCTTAAAAATTTAAAAAGCTTTTAGGAAAATTATAAACTTAATTATTGGTTATTGTTTGTGTTTCAAATTTTGTGGATGTGTGATTTTTTTTTCCTTTTAATTTATTTTAACTACTACTAACCACTTTTTGGTTTTAAGCTCTATTCTATCACAAGATTATTATTTACTTAGTTGTAAATGGGCATGCTGTGGTCTCCTGTAATTGAAGGAGTACAATAAAAAAAACCAGTGTGAAATGTATTTTCAATATTTTGTGTTAATCTTTTGTTGGAGATACTAAAATAATAAATAAAAATACAGTGACTAAATTTTGAACTTTGTCTTGGTTTCATTAGATATTTAGATTTGGTTTTTAAAAATATTTGGAATTACACCAACTTAAAAAAATAATTTTACACACTCATTTTCTCACTAATCGTCTGTTTCTACAATTCAGTACTAGTTAACACTTATTTCATGAAGGTGAATTATGAGTTTTGTAATTTTAAGTAATAGTATTTTTATATTTTCTCGTTATTGACTTACTAAAAATTGTTTACACTTCATTCTATTATTACTTTCTTACGTCATGTTTATATAAAAATTGGCTTTAACTTATTGATATCACTTTCAGTTGGGATCTCAAAAAGAAAGTGTTTACTATAGATTTTCATGTTGACGCTGTTGTCAAGGGACACTATATTGCTGCTGGACACCTTTTAATTCTGCCTATCAATGGGGATGGCCAGCTTAAACTAAAATTAAGTAAGTACTTACAATATATACTTACAATATAGACTATACTAATTGTTTGCGAAAATAATATTAACTATAAAAGTAAAGTAAGTTTTCTTTAGATTTTGCAGTCTCTGTCAAAAGAATTTTTTATAATTTTAAAATATAATTTTTTTAAACATCAATTCTTAGATTTTAATTCGCATGACAATAAATGTATATAATTTCATAACAACGACTTACCATTAATGCTATTTTAAAAATAAAATTAAACCTGGAATGAAAATAATAATATAAGAAATAGAAGTACTCATTTTTTTTTATACACAATAAAATACTTAATAAAGATAGACTGTACAGGAATAGGATAAAGAGAGCGAGGGACCTGGTTTGCTAGATTTATACGTTAAGCACAAATACAACAGCGTTTGTTTTATTATTTTTGTGTATCTCACACTTAACTTTTTGTGTATAGAAAACCTGAAAATCAAGCTTGTAATCTCCTATCAAGAAGTGAAGAATGGCGAAAAAGATCATTTTAAGCTTACTAAGCATAGTGTGGACTACAAAGTCATAGATAATGCTCACTTCAACTTATCTAATCTATTCAACGGGAACAAGGAACTAAGTGAGTATACATGACTGTCTCTTACTTAAGTCAGTTGTAGAAGTATGTATAAAAAAATTATATGACAACAAGTCAAGTAGTCTGGCTACGCACGTTTCAGGTGTTTGGAAATCAAATGTATATGGGAGTATATACTTTTCATTGCATAAAATATGCAATGAAAAGTATATACACCCATATATTTCATTTAAGTAAGTAACAGCAAAGATTAATGTACATTATTTCCTTGTACAGGTGATTTATGATAATAGTGGTGAAATGTCATGTTTGCTTACATCAATTGTTCATGCTGATGAAAATGTTTGTTGCAGGTGAGCCTATGCTAAAATTTATGAATGAAAATTGGAAGCAAATTGCAGCAGAATTTGGAAAGCCTTTGGTTGATAGTGCTGCGAATAAGCTATACCAAAACATTGTTGTCGTCTTCGAGAAACTACCAATAGGAGACATTGCTAATGTTTAAATGAAATGTAATTAGGTGCAAAGTTTTGAAGGAAGTATTACCTGATGGTAACTTTATAATTGTGTTTCTGACAAATAAAGTTATGTTCTGTTCAGTTGTATTTGTGGTTGTAAGATTCAGTTAATTTTTATTGCCGTTCACATCATTAACTAACGCAAATAATTTAATTGAAGTAACAACACAAAAAACGGTCACGTATCTTGGCAACCAGTTTTTTATATTTTTTTAAATAGTTTTATCCGCAAAAAGGAGGCAGCTTTAACAAAAAGTCTGACCAAAAAATGCCAACTTTTAAATTATACAATACGTCAGTTACAATTTTTTTTTTGCAACCGGTCGTTCAGCGGTTAACTATTTTAGTATAGTTGTTAATTATTATTAAATTGAAAATGATTACTAAAAAATCAGCGCGAGCGAACTGTTCAAATAAGATACGATTCCACTTTTATTACTTTAAATCCATCTTGAGTGATTTTCCTTATTCAAGATAATTTTCTTATTAATTGATGTAAACTCAGTAAAATACTACTACTATACTCAGTAAAATACTATACTCAGTAAAACAACACAATGGATCAATAAATTCAATCAAAGAGTCAATTCACTTTAATATTAATTGCTACTTTTAAATAATTATACATTAAGTACTATTAATTCCAAAATAAAAATTACATCATTTACCTAACATGTTTCAACTGTTTACACTTAATACCTTAGTAGAAAACCCAACCAATAAAAAAAAACTAATAAATTTTGTAAAGAAATAAATATATCTGAAACTGACACCGTCTCTATAAAATGTTATTTGTTAACAAATTAAGTAGCCATTAGAGCTGACAACGTTTTTCGGTAGAGCTGCGGTATACCCTGACCAGAGACCAAGAATACGAGAAGGTTTTCTTGGTCTCTTGGAGATGGACTAAAACATATAAATTTGTTGCATCATATGACCGATTTAAGCTAGTGCTGAGTCATTACAAATTGAATAGCTAATGTTTTCTAACAAAATGAAATAAAATAATTTTAGTTGAGGTAACAATCATAAAATAAAAATTATGAGAATATTTCGGACATCTGACACACAACGCCATCTAGTTTCAAACTAAGCAGAGCTTGTACTATGAAATCTATATTGACCGAAAGAATACTCAAATACGTCTTTTTTGTAAATACATACTTATTTTATTTAGAAAACACCCAAACCCCAAACAAATATTTGCAGATCACACAAACATTTGGTCCGAACCGGGAAGCGAACCCGAGACCTAAATAATTCTTTAATAAACAATAATAATATAACTATAAATTAGCAATATACAATTTTCAATGTTTACTTTTGTCATTTATTCTTGTTACTGACTTGACGTTAATTTATTTTTTATTTAAATTTAAGTCTATTTATTGACATTCATTTTTTACCCAATTGTAACTCAAAATTATATGAATTATTTTACTTTTTTTACTGAGGGATAATGTATTTGCACTTCAAGAAAATTATCTGAACTTTAAAAGGGGTTCCCTCTATCTGGCAGAATCTTGATGCTCCGAAATTTATTTCGCATGACACACTTGGCAGAATCTTCTTTAAACGAATATTTAAGGCCTAATATTTATATGTCCGAATTTACAATGGCATACTTTTAAGACGGCATAATTTTATTTAGTATATTTTGCCGAAATAAAATTCCTTATAATTTCGTTAAGCATAACCTTTATTTAGAGCAACGATTATTTGGTACTATTTCTTCTTTCATATTTGTATTAAGCATATTGCTTTAAAATGGCATGTTTATCCTTAAATTAAAATATTATTTTAAAAAGTCATAGGTCTTGCTACAAAAACTTGTGACAGAAACGAATCACTGCAAAACCGACTCCACGTAGCCTTATCTGCCCTACCTCTAGAGTGTAATTTAAGGATGAGCAAGGCGGCCCGCGAGCTAAGGAGAAGGTGGTTTTAACGCATTGCGTGAAATTGAATTCATCTGCATGCAGCATGTCTTTCAATTATTATAGATATGATAGGTATGCCAAAAGATGGTTCTCAGTAAACTGCCTGAGATATGATAGTTCTGCCTTTTAATGACTATCATTATGAAATTTATGCTCAAAGACAATTCTGACGTTATAAAATTTATAACTTTCGGCGAAATGATGGTTCCACTTTTCGATTATTATAGATATGAAGTTTATGTCTAAAGATGATTATGACTTACAAAATTATGAGATTTGTATATATGATAAATGAGTGTCTGCTAAACGATTTTCTGCGAAATGAAGTTTATGCTATCCGTTGTTATGCAAAATAATATTATGACATAAAAAATCTGCCATAAAGGTTAGACCCCTTTAAAAGATACGGCAATCCCTGAGTTTGTTTCGTCATTTCTTCTCAGGGCTAGTTCGGAAAGGCCGAACTGATCGGCTCTAAAAAGTTTGACATGCAAAAGTGTTTTTGTAAATTCTTTGCAGAATAAACAATTTCATTTCATGAAAACAATTTTTATAAGTAGGACTGTAGTAAAGGATGATATATCTCTTTTTGATATAATAATAGAATAACAAAATCATAATAAAAAGTCGCAGTCGCAGTCGTTGTACTACTATACTAAACGATATCCCAAATGTAAAATTGGGTAACAAAATTTACTTATCAGTATTTTTTGCCAAACAAACATCGATAAAGCCTCAATTGACCTGTCATGTCCTATTAACGTTCCGACAACCGAGTTTTGGCACTGACGTTTAACATGGGTATCGGAGGTCATTCGAATGTTTTAATTATTATATTTATATCCTCGGGAATTGAAAAATATCCACCAAACACTGAAAAATATGTTAGCTTTTCTGAAAATTGTCATTCATTGTGAAGTCTGTGATAATGTCAAATTTTGGAAGCTCGTAGGTACATGGAGGATTTGTGGGGATCCTAGTACTTAGCAGTAATAATAAAAAAAATAAAGCCAAAAATCTAATGGAGTTGCTTCTGTATCTAGAGTAGGCAGCAAAGGATGATTATATGTGAGATACAGCGGGCGGGCGGTAGCACGCGATCGTTTCCTTCCGACTGACGTAGGTCGTGTCCGGACATGGCTGCCTTGTTAAGTATCTGCACTCGGTCGCAAGGAGGAAATTGAGTCCCACCTGTCACCATTGTGATTGCAGTGAGGACTCGGTGATCACATACTGGCAATTTGCTTCGCTTGGGTGTCGCAGCGCCGGTCCTCATTGCAATCATCGGAGAGGATCTCTTGCTACCGGCCGTCATAAGCATAGTTGTTGTGACTGGTAGTGATAATTGTTTTACCGCAGTTGCATCTTTCTGCGAAGAAGTTATCTCGCAGAAGAAGGAGGATCTCCAAGCGGACCCAATTCGCCACCGATAACGGACCTTACAGTAGCACACCGTGTGGTTTTAGTCAGTTCGATTCCAATACTTGACTGCACGGATGGCGTAGTGGTTTAAGCGGTCGCCACGCCGCTTTCTAATACGCCGAGTGTTGTGGGTTCAAACCCCACATGGGACGACACTTTGTGTGATTCACAAATTGTTGTTCTAAGTCTGGGTGTTCTTTGTGTCCGTTTCATGTATGTTTGTAAAGTCCCCCGCGACACAGGATTTATTTCTAATGCGGGAGTTGTCTTTTTTAAATTAAAAAAAAAAAAAAAAAAAAAAAAAAAAAAAACACCTCGCCGCAAACCCCGGTGGGGTGACGGCCCGAGGAGGTTTCCACACGTAGCCGTTAAAAAAGAAAAAGCCTGTGATCCATACATTATTTTCATTTTTTAAAAGCTGAAAGTTTTTCTGGTTATGATCTACAGAGGTATGAATTTTCAACACGTCGCTAGACACAGTTGAAAGTTAGCCTAGGCACTAGGACTGAGAGGATTCATGTCATAGCAAACGTGTTTTAAAATGGTGTGTGGATTTATGGTACAATAAAATGTAAAGGCTAGTTACAAAAGCGTATTTTTTAGTTTTTTTAAACTATAATACGAGTAAAATGTTTTCCTTTTTAGTCATTATTATAAAGATGATTATTATTTTTTTTAGATATTTTTATGTATGGAAAAAGCCATTAATCCTGAAGATCCTGATGAGGATAAATCCTAATTCTTTTTATAAAAAGTGACTATTAGATATATAGATAAACAGATACGAAATTTGCCGGGTGATCTGGATATTTGTATGTGTTTACAAAAAAATCATATACGCAAATATATGTGACATACATACGGTGTACTGTACATACTCATATATATATATATATATATATATATATATATATATATATATATGTGAGGATATTGATGTGTAAGGTGTCAGAATATTATTTTTGTAAATGCCTACTAAATTTGTATCTATTAACACTCCGAATATTACAGCTATGTATATCAGAATAACAGTGTTAAATGTTTCTTAATTAATATTCTATGAGTATGGTGTACTAGACGGGTCTGTTGGTATAGTGGTTAGTGACCCTGACTGCTAAGCTGGAGGTCATGGGTGATGAGCACGGTCATTTTTTCTCTGTCTAGGTGTAATTTATCTATAATATTTATGTATTTAGAAATAGTATGTTTATCAGCAGTCTGGTTCCCATAGCACAGGCTCTGCCTAGGATCAGACGGCCGTGTGTGAGATGTGTGAGGTATATATATAAATATAAATACAGTTTCTAATCAAAGATATCCGTCAAATATATACTCTTATACTCGTACCTTGTAAAAGCGAGTCTAGATTAGGTATATAATCTTCGATTTCATAATAAATATAATCTATAACACTGTAATGTGATGTAAGCAAAGCTTTTAAATGTTGCTTGTATGCATTATTCTTAAACTTTTCCTCTATTTTGGTACTTCATTATATATGATTGCAATTGTACAAGAATTACTTACTTGCGCTGCAGTTTTGGCACTGTGGGAAATTATTTTATTATCACATATATTTTAGTGAAATATATTTTAGTGAACTCTAAAAGTGGAAATAAGAATGG